TAAGGGGCTTGCACTTTTTTGCTGTATTTTGTGTGCAGCAAAACAATTGCTAAGATCACAGCTCTGTACACAGAAGATTATGGCGCTTACGACACAAAGACGATATCACATGGTGCATGAATGCACACAGCAGAGGACAGTTGGGCCTTTGGTAGAGGTACACGCTCTACTCAGTGATATCTAAAACAGCATTTGCATTGTGATAATTTCAGAGGATCACCAAGAAATGAGCCTTTCAACTTTCAACTGAATCCGTCCAATAGCTGTTGAGATGTTTTAGTGTGGACCAATGTGGTGGACTGATTGACACACAGACCAGCATTTCAATAACTCCTAGAAACATGTTGCAGCATGACTAAACACAAAACCCAACTTAATTTGATAATATTCAAGTTACCTTCATAAATGCAATATTGCATGTACATTTAAAAAAAAAAAGTGGTTCAAGTAAGTGAACAGCATTTGCCACTAATGCCCCAAAAACAACCCCCCCCCATCAGTCTCTGGTTTGTAGTCTAGACTCGGGAACAATTGCAGAAGCTTAGTCTGCAGACGTGAAGCTGTGCTGTCAGCCATATTGTGATAATAGGTCCATATGTAAAGTAGAGTGAGGGAGGAAAACAAAAAAAAATGTTTTTTTAAGAAAGAGAAATTGGAGCCACAGATCCTGACCACAGACATCGGCCTGGCGTCTCTGACTACAAAGTCTCATTAACCAGTCAGAGAGCTGCCACTGACCTCGCCGCTCATCTGGGCCAGAGCCCTAACCTCGTATTTATACTTTCTTATTTCCTTCTCTCTCTGTCCCCCCTCCTGACTGTTATATTCACGACAGTTTACTGGGTTCAACAAGTTGGGAGGTAATGTACTGTACATCACTGAAACTTAATTCCGTCAGTGACAGTGGGTTTTAACCATAGACTGTATATAAGGTTTTAACTCAATAGCTGACTGTAAACAATCATAAGAGAGCTGGTGGTGAGATTTCGATTTAGAAGCAGGAGCATTAAGGTTCATTTATATCCATGACTCTACAACTGCCTGCACACCGAGGAAAAAACCATACATGATTTTTATTTTGTTTGTGATCATCTGCATAAAGATGGACAACGTCTCGACTTCCTCCAAGTATCCAGAAATGAAGCCAAAATATATCAGACACAAACACGGCTGTCTTGTGCCACTGACAATCAAATCAATGATCAACTGGAGCCAGGGTCTGTGCAGTGATCGTGGATCGGAGTCGTGGTATCGACCCTCTTTTTAGCTCTGGTTCAGCAGCTAATGCTCCACAGGGCTAATGGAGACAACACATGTTAATGTATAAAATATTAATAAAAAAAAAAGAGCAACTTAAAAACCCTCACTGACTATGATTTAGTGATTTATATCATTTAAAATAAATGTAAATTTAGTCATTTTACATATGATCCCACTTGCATATGAGTCATGTACTTCCTTTGAGAAAAATGTACATGTATTTAGATTTTTTTAGTCTGCTCCACTAACATGGAGTAGGCAGGGTTTACGTCCTATACTGCAACCAGCCACCAGCGGAGCGATTAAAAGGGTTTGGGTTAACTTATGGGGAGCTGTAATGTCGTCCATCTTTACATACAGCCTATGTTTAGGATCAGTTCCCAATAGTATCTTCGTGACTGCGCATTTCAACCCTTCTTGGATTAAATGATAGGACTTTATAAGACATGTCGCCTTTAAAAACTTCTAATCTAAAAACTTCAGTGTGAAGTTTGTAGGCGCTTGTATCAGACGTGTTAGAAGAGCTCAGTGTAAACGAGACCTTAGTTTAAGGGGCCTTACCAAGTCCACTTCTCTTTTTAGGAGGAAAACTGTGTGAGTCACTTGGTGTGGATCATGAAGTTGACTTACCGAAGGAGTACCTAGAAAGAGAAAAAGATGCATTCTTAAGTATCATGAGATAAATAGAAAAAAATGAAAGTGAAGATATATATTTTTTTAGCAATATTCCTATTATATTCAAAGTGTCAAAGCAATGACAAACTCAAAACAGTTTTGAGTATGGAATGTCAAAAAGCAGTGAAAAATAGCGTTCACAACAATGCCCCAAAATTTACTTTACGATGAAAAAACTGTTTGATGAGTTAAGGAACATCTCCTCTGAGAACCAGGGAACGTATACTGTCTTGAGCCGGGGGCACCCTCTTTAGCAGTTGGCAAATGTAAATTAGCCGATATTTCACAGATGAATTTTTGCCCATATGAAAATGTGTGCTTATTAGAATAAACAATGAAGAAAAGAAGATGAAGTGTTACACTGTAAAACATCAAGCTTCAATTACATGTCTTAGTCATAAGGGTTTATAACAGGAAACTTAGCCAGTTCTTTTATTAATATTGGCCAAAATATCAGTGTCAGAATTTTTTACTTCCCAATATTCATCGGGCCCCAAAAATTCATCCTGGTTTGCAAAAGGTTGTTGTTGGATCAGTCCTCTTACAAAAGTCCCTAATTCATTTATGGCAGTAAAAGCAACGTTTCATACAATTATGGCTTTAATGTGTAAATACATGAGAAGAAGACTCTGACTCCAGGTCAAACCAAAACTGAGGAGAGTGCATGCCTCCAGACTTTTAAGAACTGAGAGACAATCTTGTTCTCAGCTGGAACAGGCTTTTTTGGCCATCCAGCAGATTGGATCACTAACATTCACTTCTAGTTGTGTTTCTGTTCGATGTGACTCTAGTATTCACTCTCTTTGTTGCTCTGTTTTTGGATCTCCATGTAAAAAATGGCTTTATAGCTGTTAAATGCTCCACAGAGCTAATGGTTAGGTGATAATTCTGTATGATACTGTTCCCAACACATGTTAAATGGAGACTATGATGAAGTCATTTTCAGCAATTTAAGAATAGTATTTAAAACTAAAACAGTTAGTCATTTACATATGATCCAAGCTGTATATGAGTCTATTATCCGAGACTCACCACAGCTGTCCCACGTTGACCAGCGAGTGGTAAAGCGTCCACAGTGTCACCATGATCACCATGTTGGCCATTCCTGTCACCAGCACGAACGCCGACAGAGCCATTCCCACCAGGGCAATGCCATCCAGGTTGGCATCCATATGGCTCCAGTCCAAGAACCAGAGGATGGACGGCGTGTAGGCGAGGGCGGCCATGCCTATCTTGCCCCCCACGTAGCGCTTGACGCTGTTGAGGTAGTCCTTGCAGGGCATCAGACCGTGCTCACCTATCAGCTGCTTGTTCTGATTGAAAGCAACGCTGAACGCCACCACTACGGACAAAGAGTCAAAACGACAGTAAAATGTTTTGTATGCAATCACAATTGACCTTTTTCACAGCAGCTACTTGGACATGAAATAGTCGGTAAACACAGGAGTAATTACAGAGTATTTCCAGGGTTTCACAAGTTAGGAGAATTTTAACAAAGTATGAAATAACTTCAATAGTCCTGCTGTGTGTGTGTGTGTGTGTGTGTGTGTGTGTGTGTGTGTGTGTGTG